TTGCAGGTTAGTCTGGACTGCACAGATTACATTAACACAGAAGTGAACAGACATTCACCTTTGATTCAGGAAATGCAGCCACATACCTACAGTGGCTCAGGCCAGAAGCTGGGGGGCACTACAGCATGGCTCTCTGGCTGGGTGTTCCCTTCTTCTTCCTGCTGCCCTTGAGGTCTCTGGGATTTGCAGCCCAGAATTACAGCAGCAGGACTCTTCAGGGTTGCTCATCACTTCTTCTTCCTGTTTCTAGTTGCCTCTGGGATTTGTAGTCCCCAGTTGCAGCCAGCAGTAAGTTTGAACAGGGGAAGTGGTGTTTAACCCCCTCTCCATGGCCCCAGACCACAGCCAGGGTTTGCCTGGGGTGGCAGTTGTTCTCCCCGCTCCCCGCCACAGACTGGGCTGCATCCGCAACCAGGCTCCCCCGCCCCCGTCAGCCAGCCTGCACTGCTCCAGCTAGGGAACAGAGGGGCATGGCCAGCCCTGCTCTCTGGAGCAGATAGCACAGCCCAACACTGCAAAGCATGCTGGGATGCGGGGGACTGATTTAACTTGAACCAGGAAGGGGTCTGGGACAGAAATTTCATAAACCGGTTTGACCCAAATCACTTAGGGCTGATACTACATTCAACCATGTTTATCTTAAACCAGTTTCAGGTATTTTGAAGCTGGTTTATGTGCACTGAGCATCTGTTCTGTTACAGGTTTATACCAGTTTCTGACCACTTAAACCGGTTTATGTGTAACTTCTATCTCTAACCCAGGGTTCCCCTGAGGGGCTTCATCCAGTCTGTGTGCTTTGAAAACAAATAGCAGTCTCCACGCAATGGATGAGGATGGCCATTTTCTTTTAAAATTCAGGCAGAAGAGCAGCCCCTTTTGTACACTAGCATGGTTATGAGACCATTACCCCACAATGCTGGAGACCCAGCTTGAGTTTTTTTCTTAGCCTAGGGGTGCTAAAGATATGGCTTGTGGACTGGATCCAGCCCACAGAGCCCTGTCATCTGGCCCACAGTGCTGCCTGGTATGCCACATGCAGCATGCATTGGCCCTAGCCTCACATGCTTCATGTGGTGTGCAGAGACGGTTTAGTGTGAGTGACACAGAGTGCAGGGGCTGGAGCTAGCGTGTGTGCTGTATGCAGTGCAGGGGCCAGTCTGGAGTATGCACTACATGTGGCACCTGCACTGGACGAGCCCTGTACACTGTATCTGGGCTAGGCCAGATTGGGCCCACAGGGACCTGTCTGGTGCAGGGGCCACAAGTATCATGCGCCCCAGACCAGCCCCTTGTATCATGTGCTGTGCCATCTGGGGCTGAGGCTGATGCATACTGCACATAATGAACAGGGCTGCTCTGGTGCTAGCTGCACATGGCTCACGGGGCTACCATCAGGGCTCTTCCTGCATGTGGCACCTGCACCAAACCAGCCCTGCCACTGGATCTGCATCTGGTCTGAATTGGGCCCACAGACTGGCCTCACATGCTGAATCCAGTACACTGGGCTAATCTGGCACAGGCACCATACCACATGCAGCATATGTCCCAGACCAGCCCTGTACACTATGCAAAGCACAAGCCCTGGACCAGCCACACATGCTGCATGCCATATGTGGATCTGGGGTCAGCACAAGCTGCATGAAATGTGTGGGGCTGGAGCTCGTGCACACACTGCAAACTGCACGCAGAACTAGTTCAGGATGTGTGCTGCATTCAACACCTACACCAGACTGGTTCTGTACAGTGGATCCAGCACAAAGGGCAGATCTGTGGGCCCTATGTGGCCCACCAACTGGCCCCATATCCCTCATCTGACCTGTGGGACTGGATGAGTTTGATACCCCAACATAACCCACGGAGCAGGGACAACAGCCCAAGATTCCCCCTTCTCAGGCAAGTGCCCTCATTGTAGGACTGCAGAATCAAGCTCATGCCTGCTCTCTCACTAACCAGTCTCAAATTCATTTTTGCCCTGCTGTCAGCCCTAGCAGGAGACCAGTGAGGTAGGAGACATTCTCTGCCCCCTGCCATAATGGCCTACCTGTGGCCAGGGGCTTGAAACTCTCTCCAGGGATGTGGGAGATGCAGGTTGACCCCCCCTGCCCTTCATCCAGAAAAGATCACGTACACAGGTATCCCACCTCCTGGGTAAACACTCTAACTACTGGGTTACTGGTAAGGGCGGGAGGTGGGGGGTCCTCCTCTGCCTGTGCTCAGTTGTGGGTTGTAGGCTGTGGTTCCAAGGAGAAAGAGGTCCACAACTTTGAGTAATACACTGAAGTCCTGAAAGGGCACAGGACTTTAGATGCATCCTTATCTTCAACATTTCCCTACTGGCTTATGCTACCCCACTGAGCATGCTGGCTGGTATGGAGCCCAAGATAAGGCTCCCAGTTCTCCCTCCCCCCTCCACCCCCCGCCCCCCAACACACTGATCCCCTCACCAGAAGTCAAAGGAAAAAGAAACTGGGGTTTATTATGTTTAAAATCCAATGATGTTGAAAACCATTCCCTAGCTGGCTTGTACTTTTTGAATGGGCATGTCTGTCACATTGTGGCTGAGACAGCCTCATCTCTGTCATGTCATAAACTGATGCATCTTCAGACTTGGACACAGTTTGGGCAAATCACTCTTGGGGCAGCAGGACATTAGTGACGGGAACTAGCAGAGCTATGAGGAGCAGCCTAGGGCAGGGAAGTTGTCTATGGGTTGGGAATGAGAGGAACTGACAGAGGTATGGAGAGCCTAGGGCTGGACTAATAGGGGGGAGAGGGGATACAAGTTAGCACTGGGATACAGTGGAACCTGTGTAGGAAGGAGGATCTAGGGCTGGGATAGCAGGGGGCTGTACACTAGGATTGGGATGCATCAACTGAGCAATTTAAAACAAAGCAGCAGGAGACTGATTGAATTGTAGTTTATTTGGGGGGGGGGGATTTCCCCCTTTGTTTTAATGTTTTCATGAAGTTCCAGTGCGTTCCAACACAAGAGGTACTGCCTCCCGTGCACTTATACGTTTGTAAGAGCATCCAAGGGCAAATATGCACAGGAGCGTGTCAGTGTGTGCACCCATGTTTGTGTGCACTCTGCTTTGCAGAGAGCTCACCAGTGTGTTGCCATTCGTTGCAGTCTGTGTCCTGGGCTGACCCTGGAGTTGTGCTTTGAGCTCACACAGAACCAAGATCCTCCATGTGCTGGCAAACCCCATGCACCAAGAAGGACAAGCCCATGGGAGCATGCACACCAGTGCACAAATACATACCATAGGCAGGCTGCATCCATGTGTATTTGTGAAGGCAGACAGAAGTCATGCTTAACTGCACACTCAAGTCACACTCAGAAAGTGGACAAATGCACATACACAAGCTCCTATACAGGCTGACCTTAGCACTGAAGCAAACAAGGACACATTCAGGCCAGGGTATGGAAACATAGTGAGGCTCAGCCAAACATCAAGTAAGGCAGCCTGGAAAAAACAATGCACACATAAGCATGGGTACAGTACATACACTGACACACTATGTGTATCTGCCCCTGGATACAGGACCATGGACACATATGCACAGATAACACAGATGTTTCAACACACAACACAAGCTGGTTCACATATTGGAATATAATTGAGAACACACAAATATGCACACCCCAGTACACTTACATAGGTACACGTTGGCTCACATACATATATAAACCCATGTGCACATACTCACTAATAGACAGAAACTGCCTTTGCACACTCATAGATCCCCCATGTGTACATGTATTAGACACAACATGCATGCCCCAACACACAGAACTATAGACACCAACAGACATGTAAACACACACACAAATACAGAAATATACACGTGGTACACACAAAGAGGAGTGGATACCAACCCATATGCATAAAGTACACCCACACAGAAATTGATGCACATGTATATATGCACTTAAGAACAGGCACCAACACAGCTGCATACACATGCACAGAAGCAGAACCAGCACACATAGGTACATGCATACACACACACACACAACAACAACAACAACAATAACAACCCCCATGCATATGCATAGAAGCAGATGCAAACACATTTTGTGCACGCACATATGCAGATGTATACACACATGCAAAGAAGCAGACACCAGTACACATGCACAAACACATACAAAGAAACCAGCACAGGTGCACACAGACACACACGCATTCCCACAAGAGATGATGCCAACACATTTGTATGCACCCACGCAGAAGCAGACACTGCCACTTCTGCTCACTGAAGCCACTCGCGCACTGCAGAGTCCAGGGGTCTCCTTTGAAGCTTGCTCCACTTCTGGATGATTCTGCCCCCTTCCCATGAGGAGGGAGATCTGGTTCTTCTCCAGCAGCTCTTGTCACAAGCACAGAAAAGGGCCTTGGTACCTCTCACTTCTCCTGTGAATATCCTCCATGGCTAGACCCTCACTCATTATTGTCCCTTACTGAAGAAGCCAGCCCATACCGCCATCCACACCCATCCCTTGCCCTGCAGCCTCTCATCCCAGAGCAGCTCAGTAGAAATTTCACCCCATATGTACTCCAGTGCTTTTTTGGCCAGGCAGGGTCTTTCCAGCCTCCCTCTCCTGGCTCCACATCTGCCTTCCTTTCAGCATCTCCAAGAACAATTGCTCCTGCCAGTTGTACATTCCTGGAGCCAATTTGTGAGCAGGTGACAGGACACGTTAACAAGCTCAGTGACTGCCCTACTCCACCTCCACCCCATCCTCTATCTCCTTTCTTCCATGGCCATCTTCCCCCTCCAGATCCACGTACCCCAGAGTCCCCTCTGCCCTCTCCCTGTCCACCCCCCTTTTCCCTTTTTCACTCACCAGCCTCAGCCACCAACATGCCTGCCCCAGTCCTGGCCAACTGACCTTCTTCTCTTCCCCTCCTCCCCACCTACACACCTTCTTGGGTTTCCACGGGGGTCCTCCACAGCAATGACAAAGAGTTCTCCTGACATCATTTTTAGCCAGGTTCCTTTATTTTTTACACATAAAAAGTCTATTGTATTAGCATGCCAGTGATCCTGCTCTCAGTGAGAGCCCCTTACTCTAAGCGGGGAACCTATTATTCAAAGCTCTGATGGGATGGCCCAAACAAAAGTTGCGGTTTCTGAGATGCTCCCATGAATAGGACCACCAAAAAAGCTAGTTTGGCCAGAGTCAGGTGCTGGAGATCTCACTGCAGGTCACAACCTTCTTCTCCCACAGGATGGAAACACAAGCCCCATACCCGGCCGGAGGGGCCAGGGCCTTTCTCACCAAACTGTGGAGGTTGAGACCTGGAGGGAAATGATAAACACAAAGGGAAATGCTCTGCGCTGAAACCTTGACCAGCAGGTGCTGTGGTTGAGTTCGGATGTCACTGGGGTTTGGTTCTGATGGGTCTGGCCCCTCTTGTAGACATGCTCTCTGTCAGGTGATCAACAACAATAAAGATGCTTCTCTGTTCCCCACATGCTGGGAAGCTCAGAGAATATACTCCCACAGTCCACCCATCCACAGTCTCATGGATTGAATGCTCCCCCTCCTCCCCCAACCCCTCTGATTCTCCTGGACCTTGCTCTGGCACAGTCCTTAGAATACAGGCAGCATATAGAGGTCCAAACAGTCCTGGTGCCATGACAGACTTCAAGCCCCATACTTTTGGGGCTCCTGGCTCCTCTCCAGTCAATACTTGCCCCCGGCCCTTTCTTGATGCATGCAGCGAGACACACAGTCAAAGCTCCTCCTGTAGCCCACTGGCCCTAGGGTATGGCAAGAGGCTGACAGTGTAGCCTAGTCCCTAGTGGGTAGAGCTGAGGTCTCATCCTGTATGCACTAATGAACAGCTGCATGATCTTGGTGATGTCATTTTGCCTCCCCCCCCCCCAGTTTGCCTGTCTGCTACCAGGCAATGTTACTGTTTTTTGTAAAGAACATTGAGACCTACTGATGGCAAGAGCTACTGGGGGCAGGTTACAAAGCAAAGCGGTATATGATACACATTTCCAAAAGTGCCCCTGCCATCCATATGAGAGGGTATGGGGCACAAGGGTCACCTCATCAGACTCCACTTAGGGGAAGGGGGGAGGCTTTTATATCTACTCCTCCCAACGCACAACCACAGGGCGAGTTCTTCGCTCAAGGCTTCTCAGACCTTTACTTCCCGCTACTAAATCGAGAAAGAAGGCAGACAGTTACATTGGGGGTGAAAGAAGGGACTGCAGCCCCACATCTTCCTCCATCCAACCTCTAAAGGTACAATGAATTTCCAGAGGGCCAGGAGCAAGGCTTTCAGGAGAGGCAGCAGCACTAACCATTCTGTTCAGCCTCAGAGCACAGCAGGGGTTGCAAAAGCAAGGTCTAGACTCTAGAGAAAGAGGTAGATCAGAGTGGGATGATATGGGGTATCCTCCAACCTCCCCACCCATGCCCCAAAAGCTGTGCCACTGAGAAACAGACAGCAAATCATGCTGAAACCTCTCCAGAGCAGGGAGAGAGGGCTTCACCTCAGCTAACCTCTGTCCCTAGCTATAAGCTAGGTCAAAGAGAGATTCAGCATGACTTTGGAACTTTATCCATACCAGCCCTGCAACAGAGGAAGAGAGGGAGAATGGGAGAAAGAGAGAGAAAGATGGAGGAAGAGAGAGAGGAGAGAAATGGAGAGGAAAACCTGGGAAAGAGGAGGAGAATTCATGAAAGGGAAGGTGAAGGACAAATGAAGGAAGCTGAGATGGAGTGAGGGTGAAGAACAGAAGGTGGGAAGGGAGAATGAGGAGGAAAAGATGGGTCTGGCTCTACTTGTCCCTGGTAGCAGGCTTACTCTTAGCCCCGAACCAGCGTATCATGAGTGTCTGGGCTCACCTTCTCTCTCTGTGTCTCCCCACCCTTCCCTGGAAGGTTCTGGCTGTGGCCAGAGGAGTAGCTGGCTGATTTATCCCCACCAGAGCCTGACCAGCGGCCCTGGCTGCAGCCCAGGACAGTGGTGCAAGCCTGCCGGAAGCGGGGGTCAAAGAAGGCATAGAGGAAGGGATTCAGGCAGCTGTTGATGTAGGCCACACAGGTGCAGTAAGGGTGGAAGTTGTTGAGGAAGGTGTGGAAACTGCAGGACCAGGGCATCACCTCCAGGTCCATCAGCACATATATAGTCTTCACAAGGTGGTAGGGCAACCAGCAGACAGCAAAAGTGACCACCAGCACAATGATGATGGTCAGCAGCCTCTTCCTCTTTTGTAGCCCCTCGTTGCGTTCCTTCCGAAAGTGTCCAGCAATGGTGCGTGCAATGAAGAAGTAGCAGGTCAGCATGACAGCAAAAGGAATGACAAAGCCCAGCAGTGTGGAGGACAGGCCCAGCCCCACCTCCCATGCCCCCTCAGTCCCATTGGCCACCACACTTGAGTAGTCCATGTAGCAAGTGATCTTGTCCTCCCCACGTAGCATGGCTGCCTCACGGAGGATCAAGGCAGGCAGGGCCAACATAGCCGCCAAGACCCACAAGGTGATGGTGGCCACCAGCCCACTGGCCCGTGATCTCAGTTTGGTGCTAGCCATTGGCCGTACAATAGCCAAATAGCGGTCAAAGCTGAGTCCTGTTAGGCAAAAGACGCTGGCGTACATGTTGACAAAGACCAGATAGCTGCTAAGTTTGCAAGCGAAGGTGCCAAAGGGCCAGTGATAATTCAGGCAGGTGTAGGCAGCCCACAATGGCAGTGTGGCTACAAAGGTCAGGTCAGCCATGGCTAGGTTGGCAATGAAGGTGTCGGCTGAGCGCCGCTTCTCGCGGCCCCCCCGAAAGATGGTCCACAGCACCAATCCATTGCCCGAGGTGCCCAGAAGGAAGACCAGCAGGTAAATGGTGGGAATGAGGGTCAGGGATGGACTCCACTCTGTGTACTCACAGTCACTAGTCTGGTTGTCAAAATAACTGCTGTCGTCATACCCCAGGTCCTCCATGCTCAGGGTCCTGACTCCAGGGATCGGAGAAGGATGCTAGAAGGTATCTTCTTCAGCCTGCTCCCTCTCTGGATAGAGGCTCTTGGGATGTAGCCTCACCACGTTTGCAGTCCCTTCTTTGCTGTCCAAGTTGGGTATGGGGGGGTGGGGGGTGAGTTTGAGTCCTCCGTGCTCAGCTCATTCCTCCTTTCTTTTCTTCTTTTTTCCCTCGCTTGCAAAGCCTCAGACAGTTGTGGCCAGATCCTTTCCTGCCTTCTCTCACATGCAAGCTCAGAGGCAGCTGTTCCTTCCTTTTACCATTCAGTCCACAGGCTTGTGCTTTAGGATCTTTAGTTACAACCTCCCCTTCACTCTCCCCTCCCCTCCCACCCCACCCTGTCCCTCCCCTTTGCCTCTCACACCACATCCTTATGTCAAGTAGACAAACAGACTCCCGCAGTGCAGGGCAGCATAGGGCAGCTCAGTCTGCTACTTGCATCCACAAATGTCCACCTCCTATCCCTCTGTCCCAGCTCCCTGGGGGCTAGGGTAAGAATGAGGATTGAAGCCAGCTGGAGCTGCTGGGGGGAAGGGGGGAGCTAGTGCTCAGTGTGAAATTTCACAGATACCCTTAGCAACCCCACTAACTAAGTCAGCCCTGTCTGTCTGTCCCTCAGCCTCCTTCTGCCATTTCCAGTATTTGGTTTCAGGGGTTTTATTGGCAGGAAAGGGATACTGTCAAAGCAAATACATCAGCCCTGGTTAGTCCCATCTCTGCGAGATCTAAGATCATGTCCTAATGCAGTGGTACTCAGTGCCCTCTGGATCCACCAGGGGACTTGTTTCTAATAATGTCTCTACCATGTTACTGAACATGCGCTGGACAGGACTCCTAGTGCATAGCGTGCCCCTATCTGCAGTGCAACCTTTTTCCTCTCCATGTTTTCCCATAATACTAGGTCTCTGAGCTTGGCGGTTATTACAGTGCAGGTGAGATATATATCTATTTGCACTAGAGTTTGTGCCACATTAGCCATACTGTCCTGGGTGAATGTCACCTCATGTAATTCCAAAGTCCAGCCTAGGCAGGACCTACTCACACTCCCATGTGTCTCCACTATTTTACTTTTATTTATTCCTGTGACCACATGCAACAGATAAGTTCAGAAGTGCTGGTAAAATCCTTATGGGAATTACAGTGTTGAAGTCTAGGAGCCATACTTCAAAAAAGATGCTTAAAAATTGAGGCTGTCACCCACAGTGGTTAGGATGACTCAGCAGTAGTCTAAGTTCATAACAGTCTGGGCTAGTACTAGAGACTGCACTTTATTAAGCCAACAGTAATCGGGACTGGGTCATTGAGGCTAGGCTGTTACATGCAGCCGTACATGATGCCATCCACATCACTCCTTTGTGTGCTGTTGGTAACAGAAATTAGCGTGCTGTAAACCAGCTAGCCCAAATGAGCAGCTGGACCTTTCAAACCAGGACAGCTGCAGAGAGCTGCAAGAAAGTTGGGAGGTTTGAAAAGCTTGTCTTGGAGGAGGGACTGAGGATGACACCAGCTATTTAGATTATCAAAGAGAAGGTAAATAGGCAACTCCATTTCAGTCTGTAAGTACCTACAGAGATTAAGGGAGTCAAGGACCTGTTAATCTAACTGACAAAAGGCATCACAAGAGCCAGGGTGATGATAAAGGAATCCAAGCTGGAAAGGAGGTGCCAATGATTAGCAGCAAGGTAATTAACGGCTCTGACAACCCACCCAGGGGTCTAGAGGATCTTCCCTCCCCCCACCCTGAATCTGTCACCCAGATCTGGTGTCTCTGCAAAATTTGTTGCAGTTCCAGCATAAATCACTGGGCTCAGCGCAAGGACTGTCCAACGGGCTGCCAGACTATGGCTCTAAGAATGATTGGTGCACTGTGGGGCAGTGTGGGGAGGACTTCCTTTAAGTAACATGTGAAATAGTTCACCAGCTCTTGTTAGCTTCCCAGATGCTGTAAAAGTGCAAGCCAGCAGAGCCTAAAAACACATATGCATTGGGCTTGCCTGCGCCACAACGAACATGCATTAACTCGGACACCACTCTGACACCAGGAGCCAAAATGTGTGCAGGCTCCCAACATGCCAGAGGCAGGTCTAGCATGGCCCTGTAGGCTAAGCAGATTCCAGGTGTGCTGCAGACTGGGAAGGACAGGTATATGATGACCTCTTACACACAGGGACAGAGGGAAAGATTCTGTCCTCAGTTAACTAGCAGTCAACAGGGCAGCTCTGGGGTGTTCCTGTATCTTGGTATACTCTGACTTGGCAGCTTAGGCAGTCCTGGACTTTGCAGAATGTGTTTGTCCCATCTTTCCACTCTCCCTAAAGTTTAAGGAAGCTTTTCCCCTTGCATTGTAGTGGAGGTGTCTCCCATTTGGCCAAATCATTAACTGGAATAAATTAACACATGGAGGTGATGCTGATTTCCAGGAGCTGTGACTCTGGCTCCCTTGTTCCTAACCAGCGGAGGAGCTACTGTCAGTTTACAACGTGAAGAGGAAATGCCCCTTGATTTCTCATCTGTTGTGTGGGTGAAAAAATCAAACAAGTAAGTCACCCTTAGTCATGTCTCCAGCAGTCCCAGGCCTCTCAGTTTGGAGTTCCCTTTTTGATTTGATGAAATTGTGTGTGTATTTCTATATTCCTTGGTGGGGAGGTTCGTGGTAATATTGCTAATATCCCTCATGGCAAAAAAGAAAAAAGGGTAGTTAAGGCATGTCCGTTTCTGTAGCCAATGGTACACAAGGGTGTGATGTGACCAGGATCATGCTCACCTCCCTTGAATTCTTCAGGTCAAACTAAGTCAATGGGTGGGGACCCACAGAAACAAGCCTTGAAATCTTGCATTTGATTCTGTAGCATGTCACTATAGTCAAACTGCCAGCACTCCCCGCTCTCAAATCTGCATCCTCCTGAAACACTTTGCGGGGCAGGGGGGACACGACACGCAGACTTGAAGTCACTGGGGGTGAGTCTCCCCTGGTAAATGTCCTGTCACAGCCTTTGTCATTGCATCAAGAACCTTTGGATGGACTGCAGCAGGGACACTAAGGTGCAGAAAGGGTCTGGAACTGGCCATCTATGGTTCTATAGGATGCAGCCAACCTCCTGCATCATCAATACACACCAGCAGGCATCCAGTGCAAATTAGGGAGCACCAGCATTGTGTGCTTTCAAGCCATGTGCCTGCCAGGACTGCGCAACCAGTACAGGCATAGTAGTGAAATAGCCCATGGGCAGAGAGCAGCCTGTAGAAAGCTATCCCAAGGAAGCTATGCTTTGTGCAACTGGAATAAACCCAGCCACTAGGAGTGAAACAAGTTATTATACCTATAAGGCTCAGTGTTGTTATTATACCTATAAGGCTGTCAATGGGCTCCCTCAATCAGCAGTCACTCATCTTCACACCCTGACTCATGTAGCTATGCTGTCAGAAGTAGAGATATCTTCAGCTGGACTTTGCTCAGCAAACCTCAGGTTTTGGAGCAAGTTAAGGACACCCTAGCCCTTCAGCAACAAAGGCCTGGATAACACCAGCAAGATCTACATTTGAAAGGCCAAATCCCTCCGAGTAGGCACATCTAGTAAAAAGCTATAAACAGTCTGGGTTCAACCAGACTCTGGGATTGTCTGATCATAAACAGCATAAACAACATGGGCGCCCCCAGGGGAAGATACGTTCTCTGTTATCAATCACCCAGGCTTCTTTGTCTCATGCAGCTTATCTTCCAGGCCACTTACTTTCAACCTGGTCCCTGGCCAAAGCTATACAAACAACAGATTTTTTTTAGTTCACTGGCAGTTCAGAAAAATCAAGGGGAAAATGTTGGGGGGGTCAACCTGAAAATCAAATTTTTAGAAATTCTTAGCAACCAACAAGTTGGGGAGCAAAAAAAAAATCATTTGGGGATTGAATGAAATATTTCCTTCTGGCTGAGATTGAACATTGTCTACATTTCCTGCTTTTTTATTATTTATTAAAAAGCAGTCAAAAGATGTTTCTCCACAAAAAGCCATGTCCCATCAAAAACACTGAAATGTTTTATTTAAAAAAATGTCAGGACCGAAAATTTTGACTCATTTAGAATTGTTGTTTGTTTCTCAATAGAAAGGATTTAGCAAAATTGAAACAAAATTGTAAAACCTTTCAGTGTTGACAAGTCGTCTTTTCTGGCTAGGAATTCACCCAGTCCCACTCCCAGTCTTAACCAGACATTGGGGGCCAGCACTAAGCCAGTTTTGCTGGATGAGCTGAGATCCCAAAGCGGAGCATCAGCCGTGCGTTGCATCCTAAAATGGAGCATCAGCAACATCCTTGCTCCTGCCTATTTGCTAAGACAGCCCCTATCCGTGCCGATCAAGAAGCAGGAGAAAATGGAAGCTGGGGATACTCCACATTAACACAAGTTTGGAGCCAACAGGTCATTTTTTCAAAGACTTCTTGGAGTTCTCTCAAGCAGCAAGAAACAGAGCCACTTCACGACATGTCCATCTGAATCTGCCAAACTAAAATCGAATCAGGAAGGATATGGAAGGCAGCTAACACACGCAATAATATCAGCACAGACACCTGATCATTATCTATGACTAAGCAGATCACCTACCAAATCAAGCAGCTTCAAGGGAGGATGGATTCAATGCACATACCCTGATAACAATCTAAGCTGGCTGTAGATGGATTTCATTTGATCTTCCCTCCCCAGTCACCTCTGTGTTGTGCGTGTTTTACATGTCAGGCTCTGGTGTAGAATCTGAAAGCGATCTAGCTGTCTGCATTAATTTTTTTTTCTTTTATCTGATCTTACTGGAATTCTCTCCCTATCTCTGTTTTGCAGATGTGTGCGAGAGCAAACAGTGTCTGTTCTGCTGGGTTTCCCTCCTGTATATGGGAGAAGAATCTTTGCTTGCTTGTACAATGTAGCAATCTGGTACCAGAAATGGGCATAGGTTGAAATGTTCCACCCACATACCTCAGAAGCCCAATCCTTTTGACTTTCATTGGAACATAAGCTCCTAAGTGATTTAGTGCTACTTGCCCCAGAGGGCTTAGGCTTCTCACTCATTGGGAGTTAAATGCCTCGATACTTTTAAGGATCTGAGTATAGAACAAATGTTATCCTACTTAAAGTGTTCCAGTCCAGTATTATATGGTGGGTCAAGCACTGAGAAGGAAATTGGGACCTGGTTTCTACACGTGGCTATGCCACTGCCTCTTGGGTGACCATGGATAAGCCACTGCCCCAGGCCTCAGTTTTTCCACTTGTGAAATGAACATAATTATTCCAGTCTCCTCTGGAAAGTGCCTGGAGCTGT